AAACTTTATTCCATCCTTTCATTCATTCCATCCCATGTTTCCATGCACTTGATGAATCTAGAACAGGTTTAGCACTAAAGGACTCCGTGTCATCAGCTTCACTAAACACAATACACTTTTATGAACCTAAATAAACGTCCTGCTACATTTTTATTCACATGTTTTGTAGCGTTTCTTTATCTATCAAACTGAGTAAAGGTGGAGTAGGTAATTTTGGAGAAACCGGCTCGAGATCGCTAGAATTTGAAAATACACAGCCGGAAAAAATCTGCCACTTCCTTACAGAGCCCCTCCTCCAACACACACGAACGTGCACATGACCAATGAGGGCACGAGATAAGTTTGTGCACAGATGGAAGGCTGACAGGCAGGTAGGCCATCCAGTTATTTTAGCCGGGCCGGCTAAAATGATTGGTCGTGCTTTTTACAGTATTACGGCTTCCACAGATGACATTTTTTTATGGATTTTTTGTCAAAGCACTTAAGATATTCATTGCTATCGTGATGTTAAGAGCATTCCATGGAATATAACAAAAAGTGTATCTCGAGCCGGTTTCTCAAACTTACCTACCCCACCTTTAAGGTTGGTTTTGACTATGTTTTTCTTAATGTATACAATAAACTGTGTATCTGTTAATCAACAATAGAGATTTTGACCAAATTCAGAGGAGCATCTGGTCACTAAAAGGAGATTAGCTGGTCCACCTTAAAGGTCAGCCCACCTTAAGCTAGCCTGGGTCAGTGTTGTTGCTAACTTCAGGGCTAACCCACTTGACAAGGGGACAAACAAGTCACAGGAACTTGTACTGTCAAATTGCCTGTACACACGTCGCACGTTATGTTCACTGCAACGTTTCTAACTTCATATTTAATCAGCAAAGGTTTGTCTAGATGCGCCATAACCTTGTTGTGGCTGTTGCTGCTTAGAACACCATCATTTGCTTACGGAGAGCAATAATATCTGATACAAGTTTTTTTACATATGTTCCATCTGTGTTTGTAACTCAGGTTATGTAGTAAGTGAAACAACTTTTGAAGTACATCCAATCCTGCTTTTTATGACCATGACAGGGGGATCGTGTGCATGTAAATAACTCACTATCAGTGCAGAATAATAATGATGCTTCAGGATATCAGGTGCAAAAAGTGACATTTGCACTTTGAATAAATACAGATGATGTCCAGTAGTGCAGTCTGTACTGCTGGTTCACTCTGCCAGGGAAGGCTGGACATGTGATATGTATAGACAGAAATAGAGCAGCAAACACTCATACAGACAGACACACTATCATGTTTTGCTTGCAAATGTGCTCCTGTCAGAGTGTGGGTTGAAAGGGAGGGGGGTCACAGCGGTCATGTTTCTCACCTCTAATCTCTCATCTCTCTCTATCAGACTGACCCTGTTATGCAACCATAAATCACAGCAGCACCGACCCATGCTTCACACACACACACACACACACACACACACACACACACACACACACACACACACACACACACACACACACACACACACACACACACACACGCACACGCACACGCACACACTTGTGCTGTGGCTGTCCTCTCTCGCTTTACTTGACTGATATCAGGCACTAAAATAGAAACCTCATGTAACAGGGTAATAAAGGAACCTGAAGACTGACTCTCCACAATAGATGAAAGCAACCAATCTGGGTATTTTCCCTCTCTTTCACGGCCCTGCCTCTTTTTGGGTCAAAACACTCGCTGTCATGTGACAGGCCGTAAATAGAGATTCTTTAGTTTTTACCAATCACATCAAAAAATTCAGAATTTGGCGCATTTGTTTATCGACAAAGAGCCCAATTACGATGGCCATACAGGCAACAATTACACATTGTCATTAGAGATCGATCATTGGTGTTGATTTATTGTAATTTGAGTCAATAGGGAATCAATGTCCTGTCAGTCTGCCAGTGGACGAGTGGCAGGCAGCAGGAAAAGATTTCCTTAATGCCACAGATCTCTTATTTAACATCTGACTTTGGATCTATTTTGTTTGACGTGCAATACACGACAGCAGTTTTATGATACAACTATTTGTATTCTTTGTTTTCACCGGAAAGTGGGCGGGGCTGTCATTCCGCCATGCAGTGACGTAGCGCCAGACCCGGCGCCAGAACAAATCTAAAGGGAGGGCATATGATTTTCATGGGAGGGCACACAAAACCGTCATGTGCTGCGGGCCTGCGGCACAATATATATCAAACAGCAAGGCCAACTCTGCATCTTTGTGCAGCGTATACTCAAACAGCGATAGGAAGAGCCCACTGCCTGACTCGGACATGCTGTGGAGTGAATCGTGGTCACCTCTGAGAGGGAGTTGGTTGACAGCTAAAAAAGCTATAATATCAACGACAGCTGACACGTAATAACGGTTCCGTGCCAGCTGATCTGTGTGCACCAAAGTACTAATTTCCTTATTTGTTTCCTCGCGTATCTGTCTCTCTCTCCACAAACTCTCACATGAAATGTGTTCTTTTGATGCGGCATGTCTTAGCAGTCCTTTATCAGTCTGTAATGCGGGTTTCCAGTCGCAAAAACCTTTGACAGTAAAAGCCGCATCAGATGAAGACGTATTTACTTTAAATTGTCTACAGGGGAAACAAAAGGCTGCGTCTGCTTTTAGCGAATATTCAAGCCATGGTCTGTTGTTGTACCATGCAGTGGCAACAGTGTGCTTCTTTCCTGAAAACAATCTCTCTGAATAACGATCCAGTTTCACCTGGTTGGGTTTATTAACCCCAAGATCATCTGGGGCTGTTGGTCTTTGAGCGTACCAATAGTACCTGTTGATGTGCTGCAAGGTAGCGTCTGTAGTGGAGGCACCGGCACGGAGGAGGAGGATGCTGGCGGGTGTGGTACAGGGTGTGGCAACGCAGGTGGTGATGGTAGGGGCACAAGGAGCTGTGCCTCGGAGGACAGCGTTGGTGGCGCCCGCCTTGATGAGTCAAGGATTGGGCTCGCTAACTCAGCCCCGGGGTTTGCCGAGGTCAAGCTTGTGACATTAAGGCGTGCTGCTGCAACGGCAGGTGCAGGGTCGCCAGCAGCACCATCGGCTGCAGTTCTTTCATCGCTATTTCGTTTTAATAAATCCTTAGACCTTTTAAGCCAATTTCTGATGTCCATTTTGTAATTCAAACAGAAATGGGAGTCTACAGAATGCACAATAAACAAATCCAGAATAGGCGGCAGAGTGTGACGCTGTGATTGGTCTAAATGTGGACGAATCACAAATCACAACAGACACATGAATTTATTTGACGTAGCCTGCGATTTTTTTTTTTAGTTACTATCTGACATCACATACATCGTAGCATAAAAGTTCAGTTTATTTATAATTAAAAAAATAAAGATCTTTTAAAAAAAGAAAAATGATAAATAATAAAAAACTTGTTTATTGGGGGAGGGCAGGAATGTCAAATGGGAGGGCCTGGCCCTCCCTGGCCCTCCCACGGCGCCGGGCATGCGTAGCGCTGCTCTCACCTATGAGGAGTATAGTATACAGTAGATGTACATAGTTTGAGTGCACTGCGGTCACAGCAGTACAGATGGATATGAAGGATACAAGTGGAAGTGTTGTCTGTGCAGTGACAGCTGAGCTCAGGCTGCAGGCTGACAGACATCAGAGTGTGTGTGTGTGTGTGTGTGTGTGTGTGTGTGTGTGTGTGTGTGTGTGTGTGTGTGTGTGTGTGTGTGTGTGTGTGTGTGTGTGTGTGTGTGTGTGTGTGTGTGTGTGTGTGTGTGTGTGTGTGTGTGTGTGTGTGTGTGTGTGTGTGTGTGTGTGTGTGTGTGTGTGTGTGTGTGTGTGTGTGTGTGTGTGTGTGTGTGTGTGTGTGTGTTAGAGGCAACATCAAAGCGGAGTGTACTGCCTTTGAACTGTCAGACTTCTTCTTATTAATGTATTCATCACTCTGGAGCTCTCCTTCCATCCTGCTCCGTCTCTTTCTCCTCTCCCTCTCTGCAGCGTTTCATCATGTCCTTCTCTCATCTCTTCTGGAGCTCTGTCATTCACCGCTCTGCCTTCATCCCTCTGTTCCTCTGCCTCACTTCTGACTTTTGCTTTTTCATGGAGATGAAGATCTCCATGCATTGTTTATCACATGTTTAGTAGAGGATGTTGATGAATTCTTGTAATGACTATCCCTCTATTGCTGCTGATGTGCAGGGTGGGGAGAGTCACTTCACAAATGTAATCAGTAACTAGTAACATGTCAACAAAAGTACCTAATCTGAGTATCAACATACAAATGTAATGTAACCTGATTACTTTCTGTTACTTTTGGATTACCTCAATATCATATGCAATGCAAATATAAACAAGAGAAAATAAATAACAATAGGCAAGGCAAGTTTATTTATATAGCACCTTTCAACACAAGGCAATTCAAAGTGCTTTACAAAAATGAAAGACATTAAGAGCATTAAGAGACATATTATAAAATGGCATTTAAAAACACTCATTTAAAAGCAAAGATAATAAAACATGAATACAATAAGATGTTTTTTACTTGTTTGAGTAACAGTAGTAGTTTACAAATGCTGTTTATGCTTAATACATTAATCAAAAGCATAGATTGTATTTTTGTTTAATAAATCCGCCTACTGCATTAAAAAAGAAATGTATTTAAAATAAAGAAAATGAAAGTAGCCTAAATATAAACCATAAAGAAAATTCATTCAGTACGTCTCCCTATAACATATCGATCTTTATTTCAAAATGTATTGTAACACTGAAATCCTGTTAGTAATCTCTATTGTTTCTTAAATGTAACAGTAATCTGATTACCTTTTTTGTAATGTAATTATTATCAAATACAGTTACCTTTTTTTGTATCCTGATGATGTCATCTGTTACTCCCCAAACCTGCTGATGTGATATCAGAGTCCTGATAGAAACAGGTTGTCCTACTGGTAAACTCATAACTGTGTAGTTGTTTGTTGTTGACCATGTTGTATGTTTTGTGTGTTTTCAGGCATTTAAGCCAGTGGTGGGGAAGAGCCTGCTGTCCTCATTCACAGCGGTGGAATTCTTGTTAGACCGACAGCTCGACTTCCTGTCTGACCTTTCAGCCTTCCAACCATACCAGGTAAGAATCACACACACACTCTGAAACACACTGAATCATCACAGCAATGCTGAATCATAAATGATGGTACAGTCACTTCAGTGAGCAATGCATCATGGAAGTATTGACTTTAGAATGAACATGTGGTTCCTCTTCTGTACGAATCGTAGTTCCAGTTTTACAGCGGACAGAAGTTAGATAGCGTATTAAAGTAATGTTGGTTTGAAATTAACTTTTTGTCTGTGCTGAATTATTGAAGTGGTTTCAATTTAAGAGCAGTTAACACATAATTGCGATTCATTTGACTGATGCACTTCTGATAAGATTTACAATATTTGTGGGATTTTTTTGTTGTTGCCATAATTCCTACAATCATTGAAAAATAGATTACAATGTTCATGTTCATCATGATTTTATAACTTAATAAAAAATGTACGCATATTTAGCCTTTAAACAAATAGTGTGGTTCCTGCGTTTGATTATCGCACTAGTACATGTTGCAATTTTGATTACATTTGGATTCATGTGTAGCCTTAGTTTCTGTTGGCTGAAAAAGAACTATAAATATACTGTCCTGTGGTAGATATACACACTGTAACTGGATTGAATTTGCTAATGAAGAATTAGTCATTCACAATTAGTTTGAGGCTGGAGACTGCAGCCATGGAGAGCAGGGTGGGGGGGCGCTGTGTTCCATATGGAGGTGACTGCCAGCCCTTAATGTGAATGTAAAGACATCATGTGCAGCCACAGTCTGTCCTCTGACAGATTGTACACATGACTTACTCATAAACTACACACACATTAACACTCCCTGATACATAAACACATCACAGATACTGTAGCTGCACAATTGGCAGTAAATCACAGAGCTGTACATATTCTGGTGTTATGCGGCTGCATATTTGATGTGTGTGTAGTGTGTGTTCTGCTGAACACAGCTTGTAGTATTGTGCTGGTTGGAACACTGTGTTCCACTCAGTGTCAGGCAGACGGACACTGTGTTCTGTCTCCATCTGTCTTCAGGCTGTGCTAACACAAGACACAAACTCTATTTCTGTTTTGTCTTAACTTTGCAGCCAATCAGAAGTCAGCTTCACTGCCGCTGTGTCCTCCGCTGACTCCCTCTCCTTCTTGTAATCTGTGCTGTAGTTTCTGTGTGCAGTAGTGTCTGCACTGTCAGCTCCCTCAAATGTTCTCACTAAACAGGTGTGATGAACATTCTACCACTGTATTCTGACGGCAGCAGAGCATACAATAGTCTGGGAGCTTGATGGTATCACAAGAAGTTGCTCTTTTTAGTTGCAATGAGCTTAGCTGAATACGTTTAAGATGTGTGATTAATTATTGATCAAATAAACCTGTTAGTGATTGTATATTGCGTGGAGAGTAACAAACAGCATCCAGGTGGAGATGCACTTGAGGCTCATTGTTTACTTTCATTTGTATTTGTTGGAGTGATTTTAGATTGACCTTTGACATTAAGGCAAGGCAAAAGGCTACATCTAGAGGAACTTGCATATAACCTGCATATCAAGCTTTGAGTGGTGGGAAGACTCGAAAAGCACTAGATAAATGCCAAGGTCCAATGACCTGTTCCTGTATACCAGTTAAAGGTCCCTGCATGATATTTCAGACATTTTTGGAGTTCAAACTCACGATCAGTGTTTATTGTAAACTCTCCTGTTTTCCTATTGTGCCAGCTACTTACCTTTTGGGAGCTTTGCTTTTGGAGTAACTTATTCTATATGTTCATCTTTGGAGCCTTGTCGACGAATGGTATAAAGTGCTTACAGTATGAGCGCTCATCAACAAGTCATAATGTGGACCAGAAAGCAGTGCAGTAAGCACAGCGTGTTACACACACACACACACACACACACACACACACACACACACACACACACACACACACACACACACACACACACACACACACACACACACACACACACACACACACACACACACACACACACACACACACACACACACACACAGTTTCCTCCATTCTTGAAGTGCTATGCCCGCACAGAGCTGCCTTTTCTTTGGGAGACCTTTGAACCTGACTGAGCAGTAAAAACAGCTCCACACACTCTCACACAAACTCTCACACACACTCAGTCAGAGCAGTGGCCACTCCCCTCTCTGTTTTTCCAGTTGGGCAGGAAGACCGGAGGGAGGAAGAGGAGGGAGGGAGGGAGGGAGGGAGGGGGCTACAATCTGTTTGGCATAAACTGTACAATGAAGTCACTGTTTAGGGGGCCAGCCTGCTGTGTGTGTGTGTGTGTGTGTGTGTGTGTGTGTGTGTGTGTGTGTGTGTGTGTGTGTGTGTGTGTGTGTGTGTGTGTGTGTGTGTGTGTGTGTGTGTGTGTGTGTGTGTGTGTGTGTGTGTGTGTGTGTGTGTGTGTGTGTGTGTGTGTGTGTGTGTGTGTGTGTGTGTGTGTGTGTGTGTGTGTGTGTGTGTGTGTGTGTGCGTGTGTGTGTGTGGCTAGAAAGTTCTGGTGTGTGTTGAGGCTGGAGGACAGGAGGTGGGGAATAAAACAGTTAGTGCTGACTCAGTTTGTCCAAACTACCCACTCTGAGCCCAGTAACAGAGCGTGAATTTTCCAGAGTATTGTGCTGGAACGTTCTCTCTCATACAGTGCTGTAGACACTGAGGGAGCACTGACCAGTTTTCTGTCAACTCCAGATGAGAAAACTAGGTAAAAAAGGGGAGCCTATGTTGCATATGTCGGTTTGATGACGCATGTTCTGTTCACATCAGGACAACGCTCGTGTTTACACTACAAAAGATATATGTGATCAAATGTGTTGCCGACCCCCACCACAAGTGGTTCAAATGGTCAGATCAGACCGAGTCTAGGGAGTATTTAGAACTGTCCATGTGATACAAACGCTCGACACATGTAGGGTCAAAGGTTGAACGTGTCGCTCCCTGTCTCTCAAAGTTTCTTTCCCAATTCCATTTCAAATATAAGTATGCCTTTGTATGAATAACAGGTAATGATTATACAATTCAATAAAAGAAAAAGAAGATACTATTCATTGTGTGAAGAAATAATTAAGATAAGATAAGATACTGTATACCCAGTTTGGGAGATTCCTTTGTCACAACAGCATTTAGACAAGCATTGCACATGAATTAAAAATAAAATAAACATTAACAGCAAATATATATTTCAGTTTAGACAGTAAAAAATAAACAAAACACAACAGTATGTACATAACAAAAGTAAAAAAAAACGTTTACCTAGAGTATCTCTATTGAATATACAATATTTATACAGGTTAACAAATAACATTGAAGTCAATGTACTTTGCCAGGCCAGCCCCCCCACTAACAAAATGTAAACAATGTAAACTAATTACATTATAAGTTAGCCAACATATACTATTTGCTTATAAATTAACAAGTAATTACAGTTTGGCTTAGTAAGTTAGTAATAGGTTATTAATTATATACATTAACAGAACTTAGAAGTTAAACGTGTGTGTTTCTCTCTCCCTCCCTGCTGTCAAACCCTTCATCTCAAGCTGTAGCCACACGAGGACGGTAACGGTCGTATCTGCTACAGTTCTCTATCAGATAGACGGTTCGGCCACACAAGGCCGACAGGGAAACGCAGATAATGATAACGATAACGGGTCCCAAGGTGGGTAGATCTGTGGACAAAACGCTCTGGGGGGCCAAACGGCTCCGTGATTACGCCCTATAACGATCATTTCCTGATAACGATGACGCAATAGCCCCGCCTCTCCCCACCTCTCCTGCTCATCCCCGCGTCCCCCGCGACATTGCTGATGTGTTTCGCCAACAACAACAACCGAGTGTTTCGAGCCAGGTCCCGGTATCTCGCAGGAGCTTCCAGCTAGTTTTGATCGATATGGACATAAACGCGAGTAAAGTCTAATCGGACAGGAGAGGAGACACGCAGCTCTGCATGATAACCTGCAGCTCCGCCCGCTGTGATGGAGCGATGAGCAGAACAAAACACACACTTCAAGTTAGATCATCACCCTTAGCTATTTTAATGACCTCTCAAACTACCTAAACTAGTTATAAATATGTTTATTTTTACTGTCGAGTCACTCATTACTGGATCAGCCAGCTGCATGAGACCACGGATACTGACGGGCTGTCAGGAGAGGGGGAGGAAAAGAGAGGCTCTGTCCTCCATGTATTATTCTTATATTATTATATAGAGTCGTTATTCATTTGTTTTAAAGCTCAATAAATAACAAAGAAGACCTTTGACCGGCACTTTTCTAATTTTGTCCGGAAGATTTAAACTTTAACGGACATCTTGACCGGCGAAACCCCACCTCTGCTGTTAAATCCAGCGCGGAGAATAAACAGAAGGGCAACCATGGCAACCATGCATGCGCGAGAAGTCTTCTTCGCTGCTTTTGGTGTATTTTGTGGCAGAAGTACAGCGCCACTTACAGGCCCGGCATATATGTACTACAGCATCTCCAGCGGTTCGAGCGGTCTCGTGTGGACGGACACGTTTCTGGTGCCTATTGCGTGTTGACGGAAGACTTTTTTGATAACGATTTCGGTCCGTTTGCGTTATCGTCCTCGTGTGGCTGCAGCCTCATCAGTGTCACTTTACTCTGAAAACGTCTTGTGTGCTTTCAAATACAGGACACACACACACACACACACACACACACACACACACACACACACACACACACACACACACACACACACACACACACACACACACACACACACACACACACACACACACACACACACACACACACATCTGTGCTCCATGAAAGCAGATGTCTGTGATATTAAGATATATATCACCAAATGAGAGTCATTTGACTGTGAATTGTTTGTGCTTTTTGAGAAACTAACTGAGTGGCGAGATGCTTTTAAGTACATTTTGTAGCTAGTATGAAGCCCTTAAAGGTAGGGTAGATAAGTTTGAGAAACCGGCTCGAGATACACTTTTTGTTATATTCCATGGAATGCTCTTAACATCTCGATAGCAATGAATATTTTA